TTGTCTACTTTTTAGTTTGATTTTTTAGTACGGCGTGTTTTTTCTTAGTTTCTTAAACTATTATCTATTTTTTGAATTTTCAGTCTCTTAACGACTATAAAAGTGTTTTATTCAAAAACAAGAGAATTTTTGTACATTTTTCACCCTCTTGCTATTCATTTCTTGGCACGTTCATCACCTTATATTGAATTGGGTGAATTTAAATTTTCGATATTTTCAAAAGGCAAACATTACGGAAATTAGTCCCCGGTGGGATCCAGCAGGGTCTGCTCAAGCTTTAGAAATAAAATCATCCTGATCAGAAGTTCCACTGGACTCTTAACAATAATATGAAACGTTTCTATGATATACAGGGTGTCCCAACCATGCGAGAATGGAGTATGCTCCTAAATAAAAACACATCGAAGAAAACTATTTGTGATATCCGAGGGCACATTTCGAAAATACAATCATACAGGATGTCCCAATTTTGCCCCACATCAACAATCTTTGCTACTTCTTTTCGATGAGACACTACTTTCGAATACGGAAATAAAAAGTGGGGGACATTTCACATTGATCTGCAATGGTCTAATTGCCCATGGTCATTGCCAATAATAAATCTTGACCATGAACTTCAGGGTCACGTCAAGGTCAAGTCCCTTGTTTTCAATGAGACAGCTTATTTTCGTCTCCGGACATGAGAGAAGAAGTAACTGTGTGAGTGAATTTCAGAATCTTACAACTATTATTTTAAAATCCAATTTTTCTCCAATTTTTAAAATTCCAATTGAAAAAAAATAGATTTTATTTTTTCCCAAGTATATTGTATGGTCATCGGCTCTTGACTAATATGCACATTTTCAAGTTAATCGGATTTTTTGAAATTTGTGAAAATTAGATTAAAAGATTCCATACATATAGGTCAAGCTAACAAAAGCGTGTTAAAAATCCGTAGTGCTATATACAATCTCAGGCCCCACTTCTTAGGCACTAAATTGCCTACATCGTATTGTGGTAATAGCATGTTCCTATTTTTAACCCTTTATTATCTTTAGATGCTTACATCTCGAAGAACCAAAATTGCCTTCAAGCTATGAACGAGTTACAGCATTTTAGACGCCTTCACATATGCCTATTTTCCAATTTAATGCTTTATCTTATTTAGCGATTATTTTACTATATTTGCCGAGTTTGCTGGGTGTTGTGGTATTATTACCGTGCTGGTGGAAAAATAACCAAGCTAGCGTAGACCTAATAAGGATCCTGATAACAGCATGGCGACTAGTAATTTACCACTTATCCCTGCATGCAAAATCGTTCCACACAATCAGCAAACAATAACGGCCTAATTTTGGACAGTCAGCAGGACAAAATACACTATTCCACGGTAATTATTCTGAAACATGAACGGTAGATATAGTATATGTCGATAATAAGTCGTTTTATTGCTTCAACTGATTTTATAGTGATGGGGGAACGTTAAATTTCGTAATTTCTACTGGACTTGGGCATGGACGTTCCAAACAGGGTAGCACTGTAAACTCCGAAAGCCGGATACGTGTAGATAGTAGTACATTGACGCTTTCGAAACAACATCCAGTACAATTTTTCATGTAGTGCCATGAGATCAAAAAGACGTGGACTTTGTCATACTTTTCCAACATGCGCGATCTAGATGAAGACATCTGCGTGGACGCTGGGTCATCAGCAGAAGTATTGGACAACTCATTCGCTGAATACTTTTATCTGGAAAGTGATGGTGATGAAGAGTACCATGAACTCTGGTTTTATTATGACTATCTTTATTATTTTCGTATGTTCAATTTCTTATCTTTGTTTGGAGTTTATAGCCTTTTCTCGACTTCTCATTTATGTACAGGGTGCGGCAGAGAGGACGGACGTTTTTGGGATGGGTAGTACTCTCCGCCACTGTCTACGAGAGAGGTGGGGAGGGTGCCGTTTGACTTGTGAGATCCTATAATTATTTTACCAGTTGTCGTTATGGAGCCTTTTACGGTGGATCACCGCGTTTTCGCCTATGATTGTTTCGTCCGAAATAATGAGTCAGTCATCGTCGTACAGCGTGAGTTTCGTCCCTTATTTCCAGGTTTGGCGATGTTCATTGGCCTCCTCGGTCCCCAGATTTATCCATATGCGATTTTTTCTTATGAGGACACCTCAAGGCTAGAGTATACGCGAACAAGCCCCGAACTCTGGATGAATTGAAGGGCGAAATTCGCGTGGAAGTCGCCCAAGTTGAGAGAGCGATGTTGGAGAGAGTCTACGCGAACTTCCAAGAACGCCTCCAGCACTGTATCAACGATTTCGGCCACCACATGCCTGATGTGATTTTCCACACTTGACTGTCTCAAATGCTATTTCCTTGTGAACCTGATTCCATCAATAAATTTGTTTTTGAGTAAAAATTAACTATTTTATGATTTTTTTAAAACCGTCCATCCTCTCTGCCGCACCCTGTATAATAATACTACTAACTCCTCTTAATCTCACGTGTCATGTGATAGCAACCTGAGAATCCTCCTGAGGGCCTTGCAAAAATTAATATAAAGAGTTGAGGAACTATCATATTTATGTGTGTGTAATCTGTACTGTTTGTTATTATATGTATTGTCATTTATTTTCTTCTTGTAACTGAACGCTTCTATTATATTGACTTGTGTAAGCACGTTCTGTGCAATAGCACCAATAAACCATTATTATTATATTATTATTATTATAATTTGGCTGCTACTAGGCGTGAAAAAGAAAATTTCTTGATTTACGCTAGTAATATCGGCATTAAAGGTACTTGAAATGCCTTAAAACAATTATTTATTTGGTCGCGACGTAAGACCTCAATTCCTGCTCATTTAAGTAATCCTGATGATCTAAATAATCACTTTGCATCGTATTCAAAATGTGTTACATCTATTTGCGACAAAGAAATCGAATATTATTCATCCAATGTTCATAATGCTAATTTAAGCTTACAGTTAGGATGATAACTGTCGAAGAAGTGCACACCATTTTGCATAGCTTACAATTAGATGCTTTTGGTGCTGATGAGATTAATGCAAAAAGCTCAAATTGTGCAGCCCTTTCATATAGCGCATACTATCAACTGCTGCATAGAGAGGTCTTATTTTCCAATTCTATGGAAATCTGCTATTGGTATCCCTATCCCTAAAATAAATAATCCTGCGGAATTCTCCAGCTGTCTCAAAAATTTTTGAAAAACATTTATATATGCAAATTCATGAATAATTTTCAGTCTATGGTCTACTTCTTGACTGCCAGTCTGGATTCAGACCTGGAAGAAGTACTGAAACATGACTAACTACGGTAACCTCAGATATTTTAATGGCGTATGATCAAGGTTTGTCTAGCGCTTTTGTTCTTTTGGATTCATATTGGTGGTTCTTATTCGGCAGGCACAGATATCCTGTCAGGGGTGCCACAAGGATCCATACTTGGGCCTTTGTTATACATAATATACACGATATTCAAGTTTACTTTAGCTTTTCCATGAAAGACAGAGCTGTAGCAGAACGAAACTTCAATCGATAAACACATTATCAGAGCAGAACAACCTAAAGCTCAACTCTAAGAAGACAAATTTAATACTTTTTGGCAATAAAAATAGTATAAATATTTTAAAGGACACTTTTTCGTTGAAAATTACAAGTGAAGTGCTTAGTTTCTGTGAATCTTCTCGTAATTTAGGCTCAACTGTTGATTCAAGCCTTCTTTTCTAACTCCATATTCAAACGCTTGTAAATAAAGCATTTAGTTCCCTCAAAATCATTTATATCGGTGACATTTCCTAAGTAAAATACTAAAAAAAACTTTATATGAGACCTTGGTGCTTAGTAATTTCAACTATTGTAGCTTTATTTATGGGCCGTGCTTGACTAGTGCTGACATAACGAAGATACAACGGGTTCAAAATAGCTGTTGTAGGCTGGTATACGGAATTAGGAAGTATGACTCCATATCACACAAAATCAGAGTGTGAATGGCTTGACATGAAAAATAGGAGACTTCTTCACGTGTGTAATTTTACGTATAAACTGGTCAACACTCCAAATGCTCCAGGTCTGATCAAACATTTCATACCTCTTAAAGATACTCATCATCAAAATATAAGATCAAAATTGAACTACACCGTTCCGCAGCATAGCATGAGACCGCCAGGTTTCAAAGATCGTTCATATATAATGCTATCAGGGTGTATCAGCTGCCACAAGAATTCAAGCTTCTTAATATGAACAAGTTCAAATTCAAACTCAAACGTTATTTGTTTGATATGCAGCTGGATCAATGCTGCAATTTTGTATATTCAACTTTTTATTTATTATTGTGTAACTCTTATATATGTGTGTATATGTGTATATGTATTTATATATATATGTATATATAAAAGCAATATTGATATCAAAAGTATGTCTGTTTAACTTAGAATGTGTTGTTCCTTTCTTTCTGCGCCCTGTATAGTTTTTAAAAGTTAAAAGCATAATCACTACATGTATGTTTTACTGCGAATGCCTGTGTTGCTCTATGTTATTCATCATATGTATACTTTTTATGTCTACGTCATTGATTCTGACTTATGTAATTACATATTATTTAATAAGAAATTCAATTATTTGCTTATTTCGGTGCTCCTCTCCAGTGGCTGAGTAGAGTAGCTGTCAGCTAGACTTATTTATATATATTTTTTTATTATGCAGAATTTTCTTTGAATATAAAAGGCGGTTTATTATTATTATTATCATTATTATTAAATGAGAGAATTGCAAAGCATAAAAATTAAAACATGAACAGACAATATTACGCTTTAACTTCAAAAAACTTCTTAATCGTACTTATCCTGTGATAGCAGCTTGATGAGAATAGTTGTTTTTCCTACTCGCTTTTTCAGAAACGTCTCTACAGGAATCAGAAAATTGAGGAACATACAAATTGAAACATTAGCAGACAATTTTACTATTTAGCTTAAAAATACCTCTGAATCTTACCTGTCTTGTGATAACTAACTTTCCATAGGAATCAGAAAACTGAGAAGCATAAAAATTGGAACATTAGCAGACAATTCCACGATTTAACCTCAACCTACCTCTCAATCTTACATGTCCTGTGGTAGCAACTTGAGAATAGTTGCTTTCTTTGACCCTTCTGGAAAACATTCTACAGGCGTCCATGAATCGTCCATTAAACGAATTAATGACCAGTGGGCATTTCACTGGACGCTTGGTACGGGAAATTTGGCTTTACTGTGAGGAGTTTTACTTCATACCTTTATGATAGGGAAGGCTGTGCTGTCTCGATCGTATTTGCTTCTCCCTATTTAATCTACCTACAGAAACTGCTGGATCGTGAACGGTCTACTAGGAATTACAACGATCGTAAACTTGAGAGTCGGGGAGAGAAAACTACGACGAATCTCCGAGTACAACTGGTAGCTCACAGATTTGATGAAAGCTAGCACTACTGGTCCCTGATTCTAACCGGATTTCGACACTTGAAATTAATTTGTATGCAAAGAAAGACAAGTCATCCGCCTTTTTTAGATTGAGGAGATGGGATAGTAACTAAGAGATCAACTGCATGAAGTTGTCAAAAATTTTAATTCTATTACTGACGATTGTGATATTCAAACTATTCTTTGGAAAATATTCTATACTCTCTGCTCAACGGGTACTGCTATACATCTTGGCTTTCCTTATTGTGTTGATTTCTATATTTGAGTATATTTCTACATCATATGGTCTTCTTTATCTTATTTTATTGTGCACTTGTGCTTCACTTATACAAATACACTAAATGACATAGAAAATGCGACACCGACTAGGAGTGCTGTAATTTTGAGTATACTTTTTTAGTTTTAGGTCTACTGATAGGTAGACAGAAATTTTAACTCGAAATTTCGCAAAATAGCTGAGATATCCCACCTTAAGGTTGAGTGAAATTTGCGCGTCTGCGAACTCTAGGCATGATAATGCAGTGAAACAAATGGAAACAACACAGAAAAATCACTGAATATTAAGTAAACATGTTCATACTTTTCGGATCGTGATACGACAAAAAAAGCCTTAACAAAAGAAGTACGGCTCGCAATGCCTTCAACATTTTATCAGCCTATACTTCCATCATAGCAAATATGCTTGCAAGTTTCAAAATTCAATAAATAATTCTGGGTGTTGCATTTAAGATTTAACTCTAGCAGGGTCTTCTACCAATTAGGGAGCAGCTCATCGAAATGCAATTTGACGGGGGCTGTCAAAGCTCGCCTAACATCACTAATTTCTATTGAAATATTGAATAAAAGCGTGAAAAACTGGTTGCTTTATATATAAGGGTGCATTATAGATGTAATATTATGTCTTTGAGCTTCAGAATTAAGATACATACAATTTACAATTTCACAAAAGACGGTCTATTATTTAAATGGACCAATGAAAATGTGAGATATAATAGGTCGATTTTCTAGCTATTATATTTAGTAGGATGTTTTCACCGTTTTTGACGACTGTCCGTGCATGGGATTCTAGTTTTGTCTCTATATCACGTACAGGGTGTCGTACATAATACGTACCTGTAGAAATGTACCGAAAAAAGTTCATGAACTTTTCTTACATCAAAAACAATTTTTGCCAATTTATGATCTAGAAATCCACACCAAATGTAAACAAACAGCATATTCTGCATTACTGGGTCCTAAAGCATTGATATTTGTAAATGTATCCGCATCCACCTATTATTCATCGTCTAGATATTATGACAGAATCAAAAATACCTATTTAGGAAAATATATCTCCAAACATTGATATATTTTCTTGTTATTTATGTTATTATAACACGTCTGGGATATCAATTGATTTTGAAGTGATCTGAAGTGTTGCCGAACCGGGGAAAAAAAAAACGGAATCGGTAGTGTCGTTGAATTCGGTATAAGAAAAATGCCGTCCCAAGATCAATGGTTTTTTGAGGGTATAGTTCTATATTACAACTTGTACAATGTGCATACTGGTCGCTCTTTCAAAGTACTTTGCAACCATTCTGGAAACTCCTTCTCCGATTCTTGCTTATAGGATTGTGAATATTTTTCTATTCTACCCCTGAACTCATGAACTCACCTCACATTTTAATAAAATAGTTATTTTGAAAACAGGTTTCAGTTACTTTGTTGCGTGTCCGGTGATGAGGTAATGACGGTAATCTACGAAGACTTCATAAAATTAACTTTCATCTTTATTTTTGGTTTCAGCTCTTTTTCGGCAAGTATGGAAATATTTAAATTCTTTTGAAAAATCGCGAAAGATTACTTTTTCGGTATATATTCTAATTTCGGTAAAAATACAGAAAAATGCGGTTCAAGTCCATGCATAGACAATCTGAAAACTGCAATATGAATTTATATTCTGGATTCTATGCGTATCCATTCATATTCGTCAATATTTCATTTGAAGCTTCTATTTTTCATGAGATTTTACCAAAATGTGAAATAGTAAACTTAACACCGCAGCCCACAGCACAGTTGACAAGAACGACAAGCTGTCAACATTAGGGATGTTTCGATCCACGAAAAGTATCGATATGTATCGATTCTTATCGTTTTAGGAAGTATTGATGCTCTAAAATATGGGAATAAAATTATCTATATCCAGCGGAAGGAGAAAAAAAAGAAAAGTAATAAAACTTAGTCACTCTTTCTGACACAGTCCGGATCGAAAGATGACGATACTCGTGAAATGTATCGATACACCCAAGTGTCGTATATAAAAATATCGATCCAAAACATCAGGTTATGGGAAGTAAATGTATCGAAACTTCTAAATATTGGATCGTATGAAATGAAATATCCATACTGTCAAGATGTACCGAAGTACCGACGAAGCTATTTGGGGCATCATGGAAATAATTTCGAATCTTCATTTGCAATTTTTCAAGTGTTGTGCCACGATTTTGGGAAACATTCCACGTATAGTCTTATAAAGCATAATAGAGTATATTTCAACAGTTGGCGGAGCTTACTCCACTGGGACCAAGCGTTGACGGATCCCACACATATGGCACTTGTTGGGGAGTTTCGAAATATCATAATAATAATCAGCTGTTATTCAAATAATGTCTAATATAAATATAACCTAGAATGTGTGTCATAGCAAATTCTAGTTTTTTTGCAGGTTCTAGGTTTGCCGATAGCTATATGACTTATATTTGGGTATTTCTTAATCGCTGTAAATATAGTGTGGATGACTGTTCAGTTCTTGAACAACGTAAAATATTCGACCTTATGGATGTATGGATATCAAAGATCCTGGATGGCTTTGTGGGAATATCAATCTAAGGTGCTATAATGGTATACTTTATCTGAAGTCACTTGAAATAGCATATAAACCTTTGGTCCTTTGTAATTTCATGACGTATCATAGGCGTGCGGTTATTTATTTAGAACGATAATACTAATGTTTTTATATCACAATAAATGGATTTTACTATCTTCTTATTTTTTTGATTTGGGATAAAAAATACTTATATTGGGAGTTTAATTTATGTTGACTGAAAGTTAAGAAATGGAAAAATTACAGAATTCCAACGTTTGACATAGGCAAATATTTACATAGCAGGTAGGTATATAAAAAGGTATATAAAGACTTACATTATAGGTATTTATATATCATCCTTGCCTTCGGAGCTGTCGCTAGAGTCATCTTGTAGAGGAATTACAACGGGATTTACAGGAGGCAAAACACAATATTCATTTTCTTTTTCAATAATTATGCCTAGAACACTGCTTCCATAGGTCTGTGGCAGCAATATGAGATACTGCATCTCTTATTGTGGCCAATAGCGATTCACTTAATTGAGGGGTCTGATTATGTTTTCTTACTTTTTTTTTTAAAGCAGCCCAGACCAACTCAATCGGGTTAAAAATGCAGTAATATGGAGGTAGACGTAATACTTCATGGCAATTTTGCTAAAGCAGATTGTCAACAACATACTCTTTTTCAAATTTTTGTCCTTTAATAAGATCCAATAATATGGCTTTGGTTGATTTTTGTGGTATTTCCATTCCCTTATCCTTCATAAAATCAATAATGTCTTGTTTTTTTGTGCCTGTATTCGGAATTTTGTTTTTCTGTCGGGAATGGTATGGCGCATTGTCCATAATAATCACTGAATTTGGGGAAATGTTTGGTATTAACTGCTGTTCTATCCACTTTTCAAATAAGTCGGAGGTCATGTCCTCATGATAGTCGGCACATGATTCTTTGATATGTTTGACAGATAACAGCAAGGCATTAGGTATAAATCCATTTTCACTGCCAGCATGGAGAATAATGATTCGTTTTCCACGGTTGCATGGTGCATTTAAAATGCACTTGTTGCTGTCGTCAACCCAGCCGTACTGCACAACATCATGGGTATCATACCACGTTTCATCCAGGTAAATCAGATTTCTTTTCTGCTCTCTATAGATTTTAACTTTGTGCAAAAATTCTTGGCGCAATTCAACGATTCGAGACGACTCCATAATCACCATTCTTTTATATAATTTTTTGTATTGAAAACCACACAGTTTTACAATACAGTGCAGTGAGTATAAGCATTTGTAATTATAAAAATCTTCAGGATAATCTTTTAATTTATCCCGTATCATTTCCAACGTGGGCACCAAATTTTCTTTATAAAATCCGTATATTATACGACGAATATCTTCCTGAAAACCCACGTCTATTCTTTTTAATTTTTGCCCTATGCCCTTCTGTGGAAGGAATGGTTGATTACATCTCCCCTTTTTATAACCCGATAAATGGTAGACCGACTGATTTTTGTCAGGATACAAATTCTGTTTAAAATTTGATTTTGCGAGGAATCTGGATTTTCGTTTTTCAGACAATCATACATATTTAGGATTACTCTTTGGGTCTGTTCCTCTAAATCTTTATGAAAGAATTCTGCCTGCACAGGTTCATCAACCATCTCCTCGTGGCTTGGAGCATTTTCCCAAGGTCTCCAAAGAGCCATATTTAGGACACACAAGAACAATCAA